AGATAGAGGAAGATAAAAATGCTGGATCAACGAGAAATATGGTCCAGAATTTGGTGAAGAGTGAGAAGGTGGTCCACGCAAGCTCGATCAGGCCTAAAAGGAACCCCATTTTCACGCGCGGCAAACAATAGACCGAGGATAATACCAGTGGGAAGTTTAGAGATTATGTGGATTAAACTAATTCCTCTGCGGTTTTCACAACAGGATCTGTCGCCTTTCTTGTAAGATGAGCGATTCATACCATTCCGTTGGAACCTCTTTCCTCTCCCACACTGAGCCCAGGAGTTTCGTTAACTCCAAAACCAAGTCTGAACCTCCATCATTGAAGGCCAATGGGGACAGCCCGTCTAGACCGGGGGTCTTACACCTCTTGAGATAATTTAACTCTCGGTTAGCTCCCATTTTAAATGGAGGAGTGAGGTCAGCTGGAAGTATTTGCACAGTTGAAGGAGGAATTCAGAGGTCCAGTATTTACAGAGGACAGCTGGACTGTGCCTTAAAATGTTTTACTCATTGCTCAAGGTGGCATTGCTGAACATGAATCAATGTCCTCAGACTTCGTAATTACCTTACTTACGTCTACTCCTGCTGAGTCTTTAATTCTAACGAGAAGGAAAATAATGTCACTTTTACCAATACCTACAGCCCTCTACAGCTTTCTACAGCTTCCTATCGACTACTTCTCGCGGTCCTTCGTCAGGCTCTTGATCAGCTGTTGTTTAAGGGATCTGTGCGCTTCATCGTGTTTTGCATCAGAAGGAATAGTAATGTGAGCATTCAGCAGGGTTGCCGAAGTCTGCGGTTGTTTATCACACGTAGGGAAAATCTGGCTCGTAGCAGAGCATGGACCGTGTCTACGAGTGAGAGCCACAGTCTTTGATGGATCCCGGCCGGTAGTGGCTGATGGCGAAGTGAAGAGGTTGGCGGATTCCATCTAAGGCGGTGGTTTCTTGTGGAAGAAGTTGGCGATTAACAGAAACAATCCGTAGTCAGCGCACAGTTGCGTAACGCGGTCTGTTTTTCGTCCTTTTGGTTGAGATTGCATGTGCACCCCCCCCCCC